ACCCAGCGTGCACACGGATCCTGCATGCACCCAGCAGGGAGCTGCATGCATGGAGCTGTGCACACATCCTACATCCCTTGTGCACGCTGCTGGTGCACGCAGACTCACACATGTGTACACATCCCTTGTTCTGGGGGCATTCGGCACCAAGATGTGCGCAGGTGCTCGTACACATCACACACACACCGATACACACATCCCTGGGAACGCGTGCTTGCACACCCAGCCTGAAGCACACAAACACACCGTGCAGTGCTCTCAGACCCATCACCTCCATCGGGCACACAGCTGCGGGTCAGGAGCACATGGACGCCCTTGCAGGGCTCACGAGGCACCAGCACATCCCAAACCACCCATATGGGGACTCCGGCCTGTCCCTGCAGAGCCTGGTTCTGCTCGCATCGCCCCAAAACCTACCTGGGGAGGATGTGTGTGCCCCAAATGTGCAAGGGGCATGTGTGAGTGTGCACAGGCGTGTGCCCATCCTACTGCTGGGCTGTCGTCACATCCCTCAAACGCTTTCTCGGTGCAATGAGGGATCTGAGGACCTTTGCCCAGCTGCAGTGGTGTGAGCAGCACTACACACAAATCTGTGTACCCACCCCTTAGGGAGAGAGGGAATAAAAAAGGGAGATGGTGTTCGCCATGCAGGGCATCCCAGATTTCATGCAGCATCTGTCTTTATCCTCTCCTGTGAGTGGGGAATTTTTTGCTGGAAGCTTTTTTCAGAACAGCAGAGGGTGGGAACAGCCTTGGTGAGGGACCTCCCCTGGAGACCCGGGGTCCTGGGCCACTGCTAGCCTGGGGACAAGCACAGCAAGCCCAGCGCATGGAGCTTCACCCCTTCCAAGTGTAATATCAAAAAATGAAAAACCCGAGTGAGTGATGGGGCCGTAGCGAGGCAAATCAATAGTTGACACAGACAACGACGTCTCCGCTCACATTAGCACTGAATGAAGCTGTTTACTCCAACTTTCCCCGCACAAGGAGAGCCGGGGCTGGCACAGGAGCAGAAGATGGATGGTGTGCTGGGGGGCCGGGGGGATTTGTCTTGCCGTGACAGACAGCTTGCAGCAGCAGCCGTGTCCCCATGTCCCCACCTGCCTGTGGCTGGGGAGCAGGGTGTGGGCACGGTGGAAGCAGGGCTGGCACCGTTTTGTCCTGGTTTGTGTCACCAGCAGAAATGTGGGGGAAGATCAAAAGGAGCAGGGGACTCAGGTCGAACCCAGCCGCCAGGGTCCAGCTCCTGTCCCCGGGTGCAGAGCAGCACCAGGACGCTGGCGCCCGGCGACACGGGTGACAAGTGGGCACAGGAGGGGGCCAGCACCCGCCTCCTCCTCCTTTTAATAAAACATGAACGAGGTGCCAGCATGGATTAGATTCACTTCCCCAGTGACAGAAAATCAAAGGCTTCTCCCATCTTTTCTAGAGGCGCGTTCCTGATTGATCTGGAAGCAGCAGCTCGGTGCGAGGGAAGGAGTCTATACACACCGCAACAGCTCTTTAATTTCTTAATTTAATATCTGACACGTAAAGATTCTCATTAAGCCAGTCAATGAAGCCTGGAAATACAATTTTCGTGCAAACTGTCGCTATCATAACTTACACGAAACTTCAGCTGGTGCCCTGTAAGCGGCGTGATTAAAACCATTCATCTTCCTTGTCAGCCTCCCCGTCACCGCGACACCCGTGCCCAGCGCCGTGCCACCGCCGTGCGGGGCCCGTGGGTGCTGGGTCCAACGCTGCAGCCCCAGCACCCGCGGGTGGGGGCCTGGGGGGCCGGATCCTGCGGGGAGGCGTCCCCAGGGTGGGAGGTGCGCAGGAGGGAGGCCTTGCCAGAGATGCTAATTAGGGAAATGAATTCCTGTTGAGTCTCAGCTCTTCTCGGCCACAGGGAAGATAAAAAGCATTGTGCTTCAGTGCTGATTAAATCCCGAAGACCGAGGCAGGGATTAGTGCCGAAGCTGCTCCTCGGAGTGTCTGCAGCACGTGCATCAAGCAAGGGGCTGGGGGACACGGGGCTCACACGGGGATGTGGGCAGTGGCATCGCCATCCCGACGGGCAGGGGCTGAGGAAGAGGAGGGGACCCGAGCATGCAGCTTGGGGTTTGTTCCAGAGGGGTTCACTCTGCAGGATGGTTGGTTTGTGGGGCGCTCAGCTGCAGGTGGGGGACCTGTGGGCTGCACCCATGGTGCTGGGGCACTGCCCTGTCCTATTGCTGGTGGTGCTGTCGGGTAACACCAAGCAGTGCCCCCCACCCAAAGCTGTCCCCACATGCCTTGCCAGTGGAGATGGGGAGCATCCCTGCATCCACACCAGGTCCCTGTCTCTGCACCTGTGCTTTGTCCCCATCCCTGCACCCACATCCCGTGCCCATCCTGCACCCACATCACATTCCCATCCCCACCGTGCCCCAGCTCCAGCTGCAGGTTGGCTCCAAAAGCTTCCAGCCCTCACTTCCCACCACCCAGGGCACCCCAAAGGAGAGCTCCACGGCCCCAGGAGGGCACCTTGTGGGTGGCCCCAAGGGAAAGGCTCTGCAGGACGGGAGCCGCTTCCCTCGCCTTCCTCCTGCCTGTTATCTCCAGCCGTCGGAGCTGCCAGCTCCTGCCAGCGCTCGTGCAGCCTGACGCTGGTGCAGCTTGAAAGTGCCGCGTGGCGTGTTTGATGTCAGGATTACCGGCTGGCTGTATTGTAAATGCTAAAATGAAATAAGAAGATTAGAGAAGAAAAGCGCCGCTCCGCAGCGCGCGCCTGCCGATTGCCGCCCGCCGGATCCCCCGCGGGTGACGGGGGCTCAGGCGTCACGCGGCGCAGGCGGTGGGGCCACGCAAAGGGTTAAAAAGGGCCACGAGCGCTGTCTTCCAGCCCAGGCAGGGGCAAAAGGCAGGAGGGAGCCTTTCATGTGTCCCCAGAGCTCTCCACGGGGCAGGTGGGTGCTCCCCAGTTCCCCACCCGTGCAGTGGGAGCCGCTGGAGCTGGCCCCGTGCAGCACCATGCACCTGCCTCCCCCCATCTCCAGCATCTGTTCCTGATCATGGCATCTTTTCAATCCGTTTGGGAGAACATTTCTCCCCCCGGTTCCTCGCCGGCTACCAAATGCTATTGTTTTTCTGTAGGCGTGGATGCTCGGCACCTGCCCGCATCAGCCACGTGTGGGCACGAGCCTCGAGTGGGGATGGAGCCAGTGGCACCCCAAGGGGTTGGAAAAGGGAATCGGAGCAACTGATGCTGCGGCTGGACCATCCGTCACCAAAATGCAGCGGCCTTGGGGCTCCCAGCACCGCCCCTGTCCTCTGCCCTCAGTGCCACCGAGGTGGCAGGGCCATGGTGGTAATGAAGTCTGCAAGGGTCAGGGCTGCGGGTGTCGGGAGGTGGGGTTGTAAATGCTATTTTCTAGCTCAGTGCCCTGTAACTCTCCCCTACGACGGTTGTGCTTAAATAAAGCAAATGGTGCATTTTAATCACCTTCACCATCCTGGCCCTGCTCCCTTCCGCAGGGCACAGGGCAGGAGGGGGGGACACCCAGGGGTGTCCTGCAGTGCTGCTGGGGCTGCCCATGGTGGCACTAAGGGGTGGGGACAGATGTCACCGCGGTGCAGCACCCATCCCTGAGCGGCAGGGCAGCGGTGGGCTCAGTCACTGCTCTGCCAGCGATGGGAGAGGAGCCACGGTACCCGTACGTGGCCATGTGTGTGTCTGCATGCACGCTCACATGGGCAGGAGCATGAGTGTGCAAGCGCATGCATGTGCAGGTGCATGCATGCAAGTGTGAGTGTGTGCACAAGCAATTGTGTGCACACAGAGATGCACGTGTGCATCTATATACACATATCTGCATGTGCACTCACACACATGAGCGTAGGCGCACCCCTGCCTGCACGGGACACTCGTGCACAGATATGTTTGCACCAAGCATGGGCGCACACATGCACAGCCTGTGTGTTTGCTCGTTGTGCACTCAGGTGTGCTTGCACAGCTCCCCACACCGCACGTTTGCCGCAGCCTTCAGCACTGAAATCTCGGGGAAATTTCTCCTGGTTTTGCTGGCGGACGGGGCTGGGCGCGGGAGCAGCAGCAGCTGGCACAGCGCGCCCGCGCCGCAGATAAGTTCCTGCCACCAAGTTTCCTTCCCCTGCTCATTTTCTGATTAGCCCCTGTCTGATGCGTCGGCAGCCGCGCTGCACGGAGCTTATTCAAAGGCGGCGTAATCTTTGCAAAGCAGCAAACAGGGGGCAGGGACGCATCCAGCTCCCAGCAGTCGGAGGTAATAACTCCTCGGGGACGCGCTGACAAGCCGCCGGGAGGGCTGTGGAAATCCTTTCTGCGGCTGAGCCGAGAGGATTCTCCTGCTATCCCCTAAAGCCTGCGTGTCACCTAGTCCAATAAATGGCATTATCGGGAAGGTGGCACTTTGTTCCGGCGTATCTCGGCGCTGTGCTGGCTTTGCATGGGAAAGTGAGGCTTAGGGGATGGGGGTGAGCGGGTGGCCGAGGGAGCTGGGGATGGGGACGACATGGAGACATCACCCTGGGGTGGCCCTGGTTGTCCCATGTCCCTGCATCCTGCCTGGTCTTGGTGCCGCTGGGCACCACGCTGGCCAATAACTTCAAAACAACGTGGAGATTTGCAGCCAAATCCTCTCGTGAAGAGATTTAGGAGGGTGACTGAGATAATTAACCATCTCTCCCTGAGCATTGACTTGCAGCTGAAAGGGGGAAAAATAACGATGTTTTTCACACGCCTCTTAAATCACCCTGATGCCCAGCCGGGGTGTGGTGCAAACGCAGCTCAGCACAGCAGCTGTGGGGCTGGGAAAGCCGTGGTGGAGCTGAGCAGCGCAGGGATTTGGGTACAGGGGGACAGCCAGGGATGGGGACACCTCGCAGGCCACCTGCACAGGAGGAGCTGTTTGGGGGGGGACCTGCCCTGGCCCTGCATCAGCTGTAGGACGCCGAGGGGTGGCACAGAGGTGCACAGCTACTTGGGGAGGCTTGGTGCCACATCACCTGGTGACCTGTCTCTGCTGGGACCCGCAGCCCTGCCCATGCCAGCACGAGGTGGACCTGCCACTGTGGGTGCTGCCCTGGCTCTGTCACCAGCTGGGGACACAGGTGAAGGGGAGCTGACTCCACAAGGGGAGGAGGGCAGGGAGCGGTGTCTGAACCTTCCCCCAGCAGCCTGTGTGAGCCACCTGAACCCCAAGCAGGGGACGGTGCTCCAGCAAGGCTGTCCCACCGCTGTCCCCTTGTCCTGCTGTGTTTCTCCATGCCAGCCCCTGGGGACAGGGAAGTGACCCGACAGGGCTTGACACCCCGGGTGTGCTGGGCGTTATGGGGGGCAGAACGTCCCCTCCCACCCCCCAAAACATTTCCCTGCTGCCCAAAGTCCCCAAAGTGGCAGTATAAGCCCCGCATTGGGGCAGGGAGGAGATGCCCACCGGCAGCATCCAGCTGCACGGTGACACCCAGAGCTGTCCCCGCCCTGTCCCCCCTCCTTGGCAGGGCTCGGGGCGGCCAAGGAGGCGACCGTGGGTGGCTTCAGGCCCTGCCAGGAGCGGGGGGGACGCAGAACAGAGCGAGGAGGAGGAGGAGGAGGAGGAGGAAGGCCGTCGGTGCTCCATCCCACCCCCTGCCTGACAGGCGAAACGCAGGCGGCTCCCCGCGGCCGCGGCTCGCCCCCACCTCCCGGCCCTCCCCCGGCCTCTCCCTGTCGCTGTCACCGGTGGAGCACGCGTGACACCCAGTGGGCGACCCACGGACTGCAGGGCCGGGAGCCGGGGACGCCCCGAGCCCAGCCCCAGCCGGGGACCGGCCCCGATCGCTCCCCGCGGCGCGGCCGCTCCGGGCGCATCCAGCCCCAGGACGGCCCCGGCACCCCCCTGGGGTGGATCCTGCGGGGGCAGCCTGTGCAGGGCTTCACCGCCCTCATGGTAAAGGGTTTCTTCCTAACACCTCGTCTAAATCCCTCCTTTTTTAATTTAAAACAACCCCCCTCATCCGAGCACTGCGTGTCCTGGTAAAGTCCCTCCCCAGCTCCTTGCAGCCCCCTTCACACCCCCGTGGCCCCTCTCCAGCAGCCCCGAGCAGCCCCCGAGGGCAGCGCTGCGGGGGCAGCAGGGACAGTCCCTCCCTCGCCCGCTGGCCTCGCTGCTTAGGGTGCAGCCCAGGATGTGGTCAGCTTTCCGAGCTGCTCACACACCCGTTGCTGGCTCGCCTTGCACTTCTCATCCACCAGCACCCCCGGGTTGCTGGGGGCCGCTCTCAGCCCATTCCCTGCCCAGCCCACGCTCACCTTTGGGGTGGCCCCGACCCCAGTGCAGCACCTTGCACTTGGCCCTGCTCAGCCTCGTGAGGTTCCTTTGGGCACAGTGAAGCCCTCAGTGACCCCGCAGTGGGGTCTCACAAACCAGGGGGTGGTTTTGGTGACTTTGGTTGTGCAGCTGAGCAGCTGGGGAGCTCCTTCCAGGGGCGTTTGCCCAAGTGAGGGTGCCTCGATGCCTGCTTGGTGGCTGGGCTCAAGATGGGTGCTGCAGGGTGAGGTCTGGGACCGTGTTCAGCATCCCCCCTGTGGGTTGGTTGGGGACCCACATCACCCGTGGCACAGCCCTGCAGGCGAGGCTGCACTGGGAGGCTGCACAGGCCGAGCCTCAGCCCAGGTGGACACCAAGAAGCTCAAAATTGTGACCAACGGGGAGCTCATGGACATCGCCCAGGTGGGACAGGTAACGCCAGATTCCACCCAGGGCATGGGCAGGGTCCCAACAAAAAGCACCGGGGACGAGGTGGCAGACAAGAGGGTGACAACTGGGACAAGCTGTGTCCTGGGACCCGGCAGGCGTGAGGCCAGCAGCATGAGGGATGGGACTGTCCCCCTGGTAGGTGACAGAGAGGGCACAGCTGGGTGCTGCATCTCCTCCTCCGTGCTCCTGCCAGCAAGCTGCTGCTGCGAAGTCAGGCTCAGAGATTGCCAGGGGACGGTAGGGATGGCAGGGACGGGGACACAGGGGGCCAGGGGCAGCTCTGCCCTGAAAACCGAGCCACCCGCGTGCTGCTACCTGCTGAATAATAGAGGAGCCGGCGGGCAGCTGGAGAGAAACGTGATCCCGGAGAGCCTGGGAAGACATCTGAGCTGCCGGCAGCTGCCGTAGCACCCGCAGGGCAGGAGCCTTCCTCCCCGCCGTGCCGTGTGGCCGCAGGGCTCTGTGCATCCTCGGGGCCGTGAGGATGAGGATGGCCGCGTGAGCCGCGCGCAGGAGCTGGCTCCCCGGGCGGTGAGGCAGAAGGAGCCTCCCTCAGCTCAGCCCCCATGTCCAGGGCGGGGGAGATGGTTTATATCCCGGATGATTCCGACTTCAGCTCATTCAAGGAGCAGTGCGAGAGCCTGGAGGGCTGGCACTGCCACTACAACAAGGCTGGCATCACCGTCTGGAGCCAGGGCCAGGAGGAAAGCTGCACCGTGCAGAAAATCAAGGTGAGCCCTCCCCTGCGCGCCCCCCGTCACACCAGCGCCCTGCTGCAGCCCACCCCAAACACCGGGGCTTGGGGGCTTTGGCCCCAAAAGCACTTCTGCAGCTCGCAAGATGCTGCGTGGGCTCTCTGCCTGCCCCATGCTCTCAGCATCTGGACCAGGATGCTGCTGCAGCATGGAAATGTGCCCGGGGCACACCCCTGTGTGCTCACCTTGCTGCTGCCCTTGCTCCAGACATAGGTGGGAATGACCTTGTGGAGACAGCCTTGTTGGGAGCCCCTGGGGCATGAGATGGGCAGGTGGGTGCCTCTCCCCCAACCCTGCCATACTGGGGCTCATCGCCTCACGTCCCGCACCAGCCGAGCAACCCTGAGGGTTTCGGATGCCCCACGTGCTGTGCCGGCGACTTTGCTGCCTGCCAGGGGAAGGATCTGGGATGCTGTCCCTGGGGCTGTCACACCGTGCTGCTCACACATGGCACCAGTGACAGTGCTGGGTGACCCTGAGCATATCAAGAGTGGCTGTGGGGTGAGGGAGCCCCATCACATCCTCAGTCCTGCTGGTGGGAGCATCCTGCGGGGCAGCGCTCAGCTCCAGGGCACTGTTGTGGCTTTTCAGCCACAGGATCCTCACCGGGGATCAGACAGGGATGGGGTCTGCCGGAGCAAGTGTGGCTGGAGCACCTGACCAAGGGGCTGACCTGGCAAGGAGGGCTTCTAGCTAGGAGCACCAGGGAAGGGTGACCATGACCTGGAGAGCTGGGAGGCACGGGGAGGTGGAAAGGAGGCACCTGAGGTAGAGGATGCTGGAGGAGCCTCTTGCACCACTCTCCTGATCGCAGAGCGGCCACAGCCCAGCATGACACCAGGAGGAGGCTGCGGATGCCCCATCCCTGGGGGTGCTCAAGGCCCTGGGCAACCTGATCCAGCGGGTGGCATCCCTGCCCGTGGCAAGCGGCTGGAACCAGGTGATCTTTAAGGTCCCCTCCAACCCCAAGCATTCTGTGATTCCTTGAGGAGCTGGGCATGCAGGCACATGGTGATTGCGATGCTGCTGTGGATGGAGGCCCATCATGGTCAAGCTGATGAGGAAGAGGAGGAGGAGGAGGAGAGGCAGAGATGAAGCTCTGCACAGAGCTGCAATACATGCAGCTCTGACGTGGGATGGGTGGTGAGCCAGGGCAAGCTCCCAGGCCAGGACCAAGCAGCACACAAGCCAACTGGGCATTCACAAGTCCACAGGACCGTGTAGGATGCACCCAAGGGTGCTAACGGGTCTGGCTGAAGTCATGGAGACTGCAGGAGGTCCCTGATAACCAGCAAGAGGCAAACATCACATCCAGAAGGGCAAGAAGGAGGCTGCAGGGCTCCATCCCCGTACAGGAGGTGAAGCACAGCCATGTGCAGGCACCCAAAGGACAAGAAGGGACGTGGGGACAGCAGCAGGGACTGCGGCACGGTGGTCGGGACAGGCTGGCAGGGTCCTGGCAAAGTCCAGCCCTGTTCAAACAAGCACAGCCCGGCAGAGGATGCAGCATTATAGCTCCCCTTTCCACCACTGAGCCCCATAGAGAAGGGGTCCCAGGAGGGATCAGGGGGGCTGAGCATCATCACGCCATCACCCAGCTGGGGGCACTGCCAACAGCTCCTTGGTGCAGATTTTGGTTGGGCTGCAGGAGGATGGGCAGTACGCTTTAGGGGGGGATTTTGGGGGTGCAGTGGTCCTACTGGGGCACCTGTTGCTTCCAGGAGGATGTGTGGGCCCCTCCTGCAGTAGCAGGACCAGGTGAGGACGGGCTGGGTGCTCCCACCCCACAGAGCCCCACGGGCACAGCTCCAGCCCCACGGGGCAGGCACCTCACCCCGGGGAAAGCTGGCCCGAGATTGATGGGACCTGCCACCCGCGTTCAAAGGGCCGTCTCCCATTACACGGCGCTGCCGCGCACCTCATCAAAGATGCAAGGCCTCTAACGAGGAGCAGATGACATCTCCTTCCTCCAGCGCCAGGAGGAGCAGGGATGGGGCCATCAATAATGCACGGCCTGTGCCCGCGGGTGGCTCCGGTTGCAGCCAGGACCAGCCAACAGGAGCAGCCTCAAGACCCCATCCCTGGGGGTGGGCACGGTCCTGGGGACCCGAGGGGGACCCCAGGGAGACTTGAGGGGGACCTGACCACCCGTCTCCCCACAGACCCGCATCTCCTGCAAGGACGTCCCCGCCGAGACGCTCTACGACGTGCTGCACGACACCGGCTACCGCAAGAAGTGGGACTCGCACGTCATCGAGACCTACGACATCGGGCGCCTGACCGCCAACGCCGACGTGGGATACTACTCCTGTGAGCAGCCCCCAGACCCACCCCCCCGCATCCCTGGGTGCCCCCGGCCGGGCTGTAACCGGGTGTCTCCGCAGGGAAGTGCCCCAGCCCCCTGAAGAACCGGGATTTCGTCACGCTGCGCTCCTGGCTGCCCCTGGGCGATGACTACATCATCCTCAACTACAGCGTCAAGCACCCGGTGGGTGCCCGCGGCCCCGGGGCAGCCCTGGGCAGCCGCTCGGGCAGGCTCTGAAGCTCACGGGGGTCTTTTTGCAGAAATTCCCTCCCCGGAAGGATTTTGTCAGGGCCGTGTCCCTGCAGACCGGTTACCTGATCAAGGCCAACGGCACCGGCGCCTGTGTCCTCTATTATCTCACCCAGGTGGACCCCCGAGGTGAGAGCCAGGAGGGGATGCTGCGGTGTGCTCCCACGGGGATGGGTCTCCAGAGCTGAGAGCCGTGGCACTGCAGAGTGGTTTGGGCTGGAAGGGACCCTAAAGCCCACCCGGTGCCACCCCTGCCATGAGTAGGGACATCTCCCACCAGCCTGGGCTGCCCCCAGACCCATCCAGCCTGACCTCGGGCACTGCAGGGATGGGGCACCCACAGCTCCTCAGGCAGCCCATGCCAGGGCCTCGCCTCCCTCAGAGGGAAGGATTTCCTCATTAGAGTGAATCTAAACCTATTTTCTTCCAGTTTAAAACCATTACCCCTTGTCCTATCTCTACAGGCTCTTGTACAAAGGGCCCCATCTTTCTTATAAGCCCCTTTAGGTACTGGATGGGGAACCCTCCAGGGCACGGCACGGGGCAGTAGCCATCAGACCTGGGGGTCTTGGTCCAGCTCTGGGTGCTGCACTTTGGCCAATGCACCCGGCAGGGATTTTGGAGGTTTGTGGCATCTCCGGCTCAGCTCCGTGATCAGGCTTTGGTTCTTGCAGGGTCGCTGCCGAAGTGGGTGGTGAACCGGGTCTCGCAGTTCGTGGCACCCAAGGTAAGCAGGGCGTGGGGCTGGTGGTGGGGCCCCAAAGTAGCTGCGGGTCTGGGGGTGCTGAGGGGCTGGTGTCCCAAACCCTGCCCAGCCCCCTGGAGAAGCAAGCAGTGGTGCGGTGCGGGGTGGCCGTGACGGGCTGGACCGGCTCTTCCTGCAGGCAATGAAGAAGATCTACAAGGCAGGGCTGAAGTACCCCGAGTGGAAGCGCAGGCACGACCCCGGGTACAAGCCCTGGGTGTACCCGGAGCAGAGCACGCTGCCCAGCCTCAGCCTGGCCGAGCTCTCGCTGCAGCACGCCGACTCGCTGGAGCGCATTGATGAGACCGGGCTGACCGAGGACCACCTGAGCACCAGCGACCACGAGGCCTGACGGGCCCCCACAGTGAGGGGGGGTGGTGGGAATGTGGCACTGGTGCCCCCCAAATCCTCCGTCTGTCCTCCTGTGGCAGCCTGCAGCATGGGTGCTGGGAAGGGGGCAGGACCACCCTGGTGCCCATGCACTTGGTGCCTGTGGAGATGTCCCCACGCAGGTAGCAGAGTGGGATGTGGGAGTGGGTGCCCCAGGGAGGCAAAAAAAAGGGGGGAGGAGACAACATGGGGTGGGAAGGAGCTTGGTCTTGCTGCTCTGAGACCTTCAGGGTGTGCTCCTCACGCTCCTGTGTGGGACCTGCCCAGGCTTGGCAGCAGCACAGGATGGGACCGTCCCTCTCTGTCCCAAGGTCCTGCCCTGCCAGTCCCGCTCCAGGTCCCCCCCAGGCTCTGTGTGACCCCCATCTCTGGGACACCCCAGGTTCCCTCCTGGGCGACAGGTTCACTGCCTCTAGTGTTTGCTGCTGCTGTGGTTTCTGGCACGACAATAAAGGGGTTGGTGTGTGCACAGTCACCGAGCTGCAGGACAGCGTGGGGCACCGAGCACCCCCGGGCTGCGCTGGGTGCCAGCACCCCAGGGTGCCCACCCAGCGGGTGCAGGGGCTGGGAGGGGGCAGAGAGGGGGATGCTGGGCTCTGCACATCTGGAGGGAGCAATGCTGGGCTCTGCACATCTGCATGGCCGCGGGTGGGTGTGCGTGGGCACGGGGCGGCTTCCGCCGGACAGCGGGAAGTTTGTCTGGACAGACGGCGCGGGGGGAACAAGCTGACGAGTGCTGGATTTTTCCACCCACCCGTTTGCTGCAGGATTCCTGCCTCGGAGAGGTTTCAGCCTGCTCTGTGCCGATGCAAACAGGGACATCACTGCCAACGGGGCTGGGCCCGAGACCTGTCCCAGCAAGGTTAAGGATAGGGGACATGGGCCAGGACGTGGTGGCCCCCATGAGGATAACCCCCAGGGCCTGCAGAGCCACCAGCCCCCGGGGGTTTGGGGTCCCTCTGATCCCCCAGCCTCCCTCTGAGTGCCCTGTGCTCACTGTGCCTTGTGCTGCCTCTTCTGTGCTTCTCCCCATCTCACCCAGCCGCCCACCCCAGCAAACTGGGCACAGATGCTCGCTGTCCCCCTTTAGCCACCCCATGGCATCACCCATGTCCCCTGTGGGATAAACTCCCCTGGGTGCTGCCCTGATGGGCACCCAGACCCCGCAAGGCGCTGAGATGAAGACCACCCCGCATGGTCGCAGCCTCCCCTTGCTCCCCAGGTGTTTCTCTTCCATAACCAGGCTGCAGCTTCTGCGGGGGCATTTTCAGTGAATTTTCTGTGATTTCCAGCCAGCCCTCAGTAAGGGTGAGGAGCTGCTGCCTGAGCGCCAAGAGGCTGGGGGGGAGTCCCTGGTACCCAGCCCGTGATGCTGCCCCAAATGTCCAGGGTGACGGAGGCACCAGGTGCACGGGGAGGACAGGAGGGGTGGCAGGGACAGGGACCCGCAGCCAGCACCGGGCTGTGACCGAGCTCCCAGCATCAAAAGGCCTGGGGGGCCTTGTGATACCCGTGGGGCTGGGAAGGGGACACCCCCAACTTTCTGGGGTGCTGGACCCCCAGCATGACATTTTCACCCCAAAAACACCTCGCTGGTGGTTTCCCCAGCAAGAGGCCACATGCCAGCATCCCCCGAGCGAGGGAGGGGGCAGGCAGGGTGCCAAGAGGGGGTGTGGGGGGACCGGAGCCCCCCTGGGTGCCCTTGCTGGGATTATGGGGGCGTGGGCAGCGGGGGCTGCGGGCCCCCAGGAGAGTGCATCTGGCCGGCTCTTCCTGCCTGGCCCCAGTGCAGGGATTGGAAAGGAAACGGGAAGCTGCTGCTGGGGGAGAGATTAGTTCAGCAGCGAGCGATGTCAGCCAGCCCCACGGATGGGGGGGGCACAGGGCCCGTGCTGCCCCCGTGCACCAAAGCATCCGGTGTCCCAAATGTCACCGGGCTAGGGGAGGGTGTCGCCCTGTCCCCGGGCTCTTACGCTTTGCAGGTGACATTTCCTGAGCTGGCAGGGGGGTCCCGTCCCCACCACCCATGCTGGGAGCAATGGGGCCCCCCGAGCAGGCTGTCCCGTGTCCCCCCTGCAGCAGGTCTGCGAGAGCGCTGCCTCCAGCCCCTTGTCCTGCTCCTCACCCTCCCTGCCCCTCTGCCGTGCCCTGAAACCCCCCCAGGGCTGCTTGGCCCCACGCTTCCAGCTCACCCATGGGGCAATCGCCCTGAGCCCCCCACCCTCTGCTGCTCCTGCGTGCAGGGACGGAGGGAGGGGTGGAGGAATGGAGAGATGTAGGGATGTAGGGAAGGAGGAAGGAAGGAGAGGTGGCCGGGCAGCTGCACACACGGACCTTGGGGCAGTGTCATCATGGGGGGTTCCCAGAGGCTGGAAGGAGCAGGCCAACGTGTTGGAAGGATCCTAAATTCACTTTGATCTTCACTTCCTCCAGCCCTTGCCTGCATGTTCGGCAAGCCCAGTCCCCAATCCCAGGGCTCTTTTCCCCAACCCCAGAACTGTTTTCGCCAACCCCAGAGCTGTTTTCCCCAACCCCAGAGCTGTTTTCCACTCCTGCCCATCTGCCTCCCCCCAGGAGTGGGTGAGACCTTCCTGTTGTTGTCAAAGCCTCTAAATATAGATCCCATCAGCAGGTTGGCAGGCGCCAAAGCGATCAAGTGGAGTCCTTGAAAGCTGCGCAGTGGGAGGCGGGCAGGTCGGAACCCCCCGAGGACCTGCGGGTGCCCTGCCTCCACCTGGGCGCACGGGGCTGGGAGGTGCTGCGGGGTGCCAAGGAGCACGGGTCGGGTCCTGCACAGCACTGCCCCTAGCACACGTGCCTCCAGCACAGCGGGGTTGAAACCGCATCCTTTGCTGCCACCGCAGCCTCTGTGTGCAGCCAAGGGGCTTCTGCAACGAGGCACGGGGCACGGGGTGGATTTGGAGGGTCCCTGAGTACCCTGAGGGTCCCTGGGTGCCCTGCCTCTGTACCTCGCCATGGGGAGGACCATGGGCCCCCCCCCGTGCCATCCCCAGCCCCAGAGCACCCGGTGGGGACAGGGGAGGAAGGGGGGGCTGTACTGGGGCTGTCACTGAGTTCTGCTTCTGCTTTGCAGGAGCAAGCCTGCGAGAAGGAGAAGCTGCATTTCCCCCCCCCTTGCAGCATGCACAGGCTCAGACAGGGTGGCTCTCGCACGCCGGGGGGGATCCCCACAACCTCCCCGCAGGAAATTCTGGAGCTGCAGGGATTAGAGGCAGCCCCGAGGTGCAGCACGGGGAGCCCCCAGGGCATGGAGCAATTATCAGCCTGGCCACAGGGTGCAGAGAAAGGCTGGAGGCAGTGAGATACCATCTCAGATAAGGGCAGGGTTGGGTAACAGCAGAGCTGGGCTAACTGCACGGGACTCTTGCAAAAAGCGTTGTGCTAGGAGCAGCCAGGTGGGTGAACGAGCAGGGTCCGTGCCTGGGCAGGACCTCCCGTGCCCCCCTAACCCATCCCCGTGGCCATCCCATCACCACCCCCTGGTCACAGCGGTGGGATGCAGGGTTGTACCCACAGAATCCCTTGTGGGAATCCAAGTTTTTCACCCAGTACCCATCCACCTAAATCCCCTCAATGGCTTCGTCGTAGCCTTTTTCAGCCCGATTTGGCCAAGCTTTCCACAGCCTTCCCAGCACTCCAGTGCGGGACCATGGTGGACGCAGCGATGCCTCCCACCACCTGCAGCACATAGGGCTGGGTGCACGCAGCAGCTTCAGGGATGTGCGGGTGCAGGGGGGCACCCAGGCTCCCCCCAGCCGTGCCATGGGAGTGGGACCCTCGCTGGGAAGAGGCAAGGGGAAGAGAGCATCGGGGGGGCAGCACCCAAAGGAGGGCAGAGCCTGGAGAGGGGCAGGTCAGGAGGGTGGGGACAGGGCTGGGGACCAGAGGGCTGGCCCGGAGGAGGGACCGGCAGTGGGAGGCGCAGGCTGGGTGCTGCCATCGCCGCAGGCTGAGACCCCTGCACCCAGCGGGGACGCCTTGGCATCACCCCTGTCACCATGCTGCCACCGCGCTGGAGCCGGCCCCGCTGAGCCCAGAGGTGAGGGAGAGCCCCAGGGGGCAGGGGACGGGCAGGCTTGGGGACAGAGGCTCCGTGGGAAGGGCCCATGCCCAGCGCTTGGCATGGGCTGGCGGGGATGCGGAGGGTGGCAAGGTGACAGCCAGGCTGTCCCCAAGAGCCCCCCAGCCAGCAGGGAGCCCCAAGGGGAGGTCTCGGGACAGGAAAGCAGAGCTGGCCGCAGATCCCCCGGGGTGATACGGCCACGAGAAAGGGGGAAATTGCCCCATTTCAGCAGCAAGCCAGCAGGCAGAAACAGGGACATCACCCTCCACCCTCCCCACCCCAGACTTTCGTGTAGGTCCTACATCAACAAGCCACTTTCCGGCCACGATGTCCCCATACCCCGCTCCCTGCGCCCATCCCGGCCACCTCCTGCTGCGTGCCCATCACCGTCACCGTGGGCTGTCACACAGCCATCCCCTCGCACCCATTCGTGTACACTGCTCCCAGAGCACCGTGCTCCCCCCACGTGCTCCCCACGCAGCCCCTGCCCGCAGTCCCACCGGCAGCAGCGGTGCCAAAGCGCCGGCGGCGGCGCAAGCGGGAGCCTGGGACGGCCGGGATACGGCCCCCGCCGGAGGGGGCAGGGGGATGCGTGGGAGAGCGCAGGCAGCAGGAAGGAAGCCTGCACTGAACAATAGCGGGAAATGGAGGAACTGGAAAAAAAGAGCCTGTGGCAGCACACTCAGCACAGATGGTTTCGTGCGGAGCAGCGTGATTCATGGGAAAAAGGCCCTCAGCGCCCCGCGGCTCCCTCCGGCGAGGAATTTGGGGATGGGGGTCCCTGGGTGGGTGGGCACAGTGCTGGGCGCCAGCCCTGCTGGCTCGCCCCGCGCAGTGCATCTCTCCCAGCCCGTGAGTCATGCTGAACTCTCCCATGCCCTCGCTGGCAGCCGGATAGATTATGGTCTGGCCCTTCCGGCAGCAGAGCCCTCCCTGAGTTGGCCGGCACCAGAGCTCGTCCCCTGGGAGGGGCCCAGCTGCTGCCCCCCTATCGCCGGCGGCAGCCCCCCTCTGACGTGCCTCATCCCCTCCCGACAAGCCCCAAGCAGCCCTGAGCTGCGGCCCCCAGCCTCGGCTCGCCCGTGCCCCCTGCTCGGTGCTGGCAGCCCCGGGGAGGGGCAGAGGAGAGGCTTCGGGCTGAGAAACAACAGGATGCGGTCCTGGCTTCGGGTGCTAGAGGTGAGAGGTTCCGGGCAGGGTGGCTGAGGCTGGGGGGGCCTCCAGGAGTGTCCTCTGCATGGCCAAGCCCCCAGCCTCCCCTCCTGCTGCCTCCTCACCCTTTCCTGCCCTCCTTCCCCAGATGATGGGCTGAGCATCCGTCCTGGAGGCACCCCAGGGCCATGAGCTCGCCGTGCGGTCCTGACTCGGACATCGCAGACTGGC